AGAGCTAACTTCAGCCTCTTCAAAGATCTGCTTGGGAGAATCCCATGAGTTAGGGCTGTAAAAGGTAGGGTAGTCCAAGAGAGCTGGTCAATATTCAAGCACCGCTTCCTCCAAGCTCAAGATTGGTGCATCCCGAAGAGTAAGAAACCAAGCAAAGAAGGCAGGAGACCTGCATGGATGAGCAAGGAGCTCCTGGAAAAACTCAAAGGGAAGAAGGAAGTTTATAGCGTGTGGACAAAAGGACTGGCCACTTGGGAAGAATATAGGAATGTTGTCAGAGTATGCAGGGATGTGATGAGGAAGGCTAAGGCCCACTTGGAATGAAATATGGGAAGTGATATCAAGGACAAGAAGAAGGGCTTTTTCAAGTACATCACCAGCAAAAGGAAGACTACAGAAATTGTGCACCTGCTGCTGAATGAGGTGGGTGTCCTGGGAGGATACAGAGAAGGCGGAGCTACTGAATGCCACCTTTGCTTGAGTCTATACTGCTAAGGCCGGCCCTCAGGAATCCCAGACCCTGGAGGCAGGAGAGAAAATCTGGAGAAAGGAAGACCTTCTCTTGGTCGAGGAGGATTGGGCTAGAGATCATTTAGGCAAACTTGACACCCACAAATCCATGGGCCCCGATGGTATGCACCCAGAAGTGCTGAGGGAGCTGGCAGACATTATTGCTATGCCACTCTCCATCACCTTTGCGGCCCTCAGGAATCCCAGACCCTGGAGGCAGGAGAGAAAATCTGGAGAAAGGAAGACCTTCTCTTGGTCGAGGAGGATTGGGCTAGAGATCATTTAGGCAAACTTGACACCCACAAATCCATGGGCCCCGATGGTATGCACCCAGAAGTGCTGAGGGAGCTGGCAGACATTATTGCTATGCCACTCTCCATCACCTTTGAAAGGTCATGGAGAACAGGAGAGGTGCCTGAGGACTGGAAGAAAGCCAATGTCACTCCAGTCTTAAAAAAGGGCAGGGAGGAGGACCCAGGAAACTAAAGGCACATCAGCCTAACCTCCATCCCTGGAAAGGTGAAGGAACAGCTTGTTCTGGGGGTCATCTCTAAGCATGTGGAGGAAAAGAAGGTTATCAGGAGTGGTCAACATGGATTCACCAAGGGGAAATCATGCCTGACCAATCTGATAGCCTTTTATGATGGCATGACCAGCTGGGTGGATGAGGAGAGAGCAGTGGATGTTGACTACCTGGACTTCAGTAAGGCTTTTGAGACTGACTCTCATAAATAACATCCTCACAGGCAAGCTTAGGAAGTATGGGTTGGATGAGTGGACAGTGAGGTGGGTTGAGAACGGGCTGAATGGCAGAGCCCAGAGGGTAGTGATAACTGGTGCAGAGTCTAGTTGGAGGCCTGTAGCTAGTGGTGTGCCCCAAGGGTCAGTACTGGGTCCAGTCTTACTCAATATATTCATCAGTGACCTGGACGAGGGGACAGAGCGTACCCTCAGCAAATTTGCTGATGATACAAAACTAGGAGGAATGGCCAACACACCAGAAGGCTACACTGCCATTCAGCAAGATCTGGACAAACTAGAGAGTTGGGCAAAGAGGAACTAAATGAAATTCAACAAGGCCAAGTGTAGGGTCCTGCACCTAGGGAAGAATAACCCCCAGGCACCAGTACAGGGCAGGGGGTGACCTGCTGGGAAGCAGCACTGCAGAGAAGGACCTGGGATTCCTGGTGGACAACGAGCTCTCCATGAGCCAGCAGTGTGTCCTCATGGCCAAGAAGGCCAGTGGTACCTGGGGTGCATTAAAAGCATGGCCAGCAGGTTGAGGGAGGTTTTCCTCCCCCTCTACTCTGCCCTGGTGAGGCCACATCTGGAGTTCTGTGTCCAGTTCTGGGCTTCCCAGTTCAAGAAAGACATGGAACTACTGGAGAGAGTCCAGTGGCAGGCTACAAGGATGATGAGGGGACTGGAGGATCTCTCACATGAGGAAAGGCTGAGAGAGCTGGGTCTGTTTAGCCTGGAGAAGACTGAGGGGGATCTTATTAAGGTTTATAAATATCTAAAGGGTGGGTGTCAAGAGGATGGAGCCAGACTCTTCTCAATGGTGCCCAGTGACAGGACAAGGGGCAACGGGCACAAACTGGAATACAGGAAGTTCCATCTCAGTATGAGGAAAAACTTCTTCACTTTGAGGGTGACAGAGCACTGGAAGAGGCTGCCCAGAGAGGTTGTGGAGTCTCCTTCTCTGGAGATATTCAAAACCCACCTGGATGCCATCCTGTGCAACATGCTCTAGGTGATCCTGCTTTAGCAGGGGGGGTGGGACTAGATTATCTCCAGCGGTCCCTTCCAACCCCTACTGTTCTGCAATTCTGTGATTATTTGAAGAGGGCACTGAAACTGCCAGGGACTTTTCCTTGGCAGTTAGTTACAAAAGTCTGGGGATGTTTCAGATAGAGCATCCATAATTAGGGTTTCACACAGTGTGACAAGAAGCATCCCAGCTGAACACATCTCAGTCACAACTGGTCTTCCCTGCTGAGTCAATGACTAAGCACTAGTGAAGCCTTGGATAAGCTCCAGCTCTTTAACATACAGCTGCCATTGGTGTAGGTTGGACAAGGCTAGCACATCTGTTCCTGACCCACCTGGGTGCCAGGTCACCACAAGAGTGGGGCAGTGTTGCTTGACTACACCTTACCAGGTCCTACTGTCACGCAGGAAATGTCCAACCAACCCAAACCCATTTACAGCATGGCCATATGCTGGCACACAAAGGACCACATACGCCAAATTTCTTCATTTAAGCTTTGCCCACTTATCCGGGCTTAAAATAGCAACGGATGTGGAACTGATCTTCTAGAAAAATCCAACTGCTAGAATAAAAACTACTGTTTGAAAACTTGTAAGCAGGAAATGAAAATACCATATAGAGAGCCACTGTCATACCCCGTTCAGGGTTTAGCAGGCCTGTGCTTTATCACAGACCAGGAAAAATTACCCCTCCTCCATTTGAGGAAACTGTATCTGCCTTAACACATTTTCCAGGTTTACTGACGTTCAGCATAGGGCTATTTTAATTTGATCACTAAAAGCAGTGACACATTATCAGGCCTAATCATTAACTGATAGCCATTTGTATTCCCTATGGTATGCGATTTGCAGCATGCCCTGGATGAAAGTCCATCACAAGTTGCTCATGAAACACAGTTCTGGAACAGAAGTAGCTGTCTCCACACCCTGGGACCAGCACAAAACAAGGCCTGAGCCCTCGCTGTGTGCCCTGGGGCAGACTGGGGGGTGATCTGGTGAGGTACAGACTGAGCACCCACCTTCCTGACCCCAAGGGAGCAGTTCCATTAATTAAAGGTTTAAACCATTGCCATAGCAGGATGTGGAGCCTGCAAGAGCCATGATGAGGCCGCCAGGAACATCAGCTATAAAGGCAAACTTTTGTAGCACTTTTCACTTCTGCTTGTATTTGTGGTCTGCACAGAGAACAATACAAGTACAGTAATATACAAAGTTTTGTGTATATCTTTTCCTCCAGCTTGCAGGTAGACACATTCAGAAAACTAGCAGCAATTTCTTCTCACAACAGCAATTAAAAAAGAAAGTGTGCTGCAAAGGCAGGAAAGATCAGGAGTTTGCCAGCAGAAGAGAATAGATAAATGACATGGCTCAGCTCAGGCCCTCATGCAGGCACAGAGCTGACTAGGTATTTTCTCTCTCCTGCTGCTTGCACCTGCACCCTGTTAAGGTTCTACTGGTCACACATAAAACAACCAACTGACCCAAACCCACTTACAGCATGGACACACACAAAGCTGCGCTGGCACCTATAAGAAAAAGTGTGATATAACAGCAGGAGGAAAACTGCACCAAGTGTAATCTCTGCTCCTAGAGATACCCGCTGTTACGCCCCTTGAAAGAGTAGCTCTGTGATAGAAAAGCAATGAGGCTGATCTGTTTGCACTGGCATTAAAAAAAATAAAAAGGCAACTTTGCTGAGGTCAGTGTGTCAATGATATTTTTATCATGGCAATAAGCGTTCCAAAGTAGGAAACATACACAAGACACTAGAGCTAAGGTCTTGTACTACATCCACCTCACTGTCCTGCAGGATCCCCTGCTGTCAACAGCATACCCCTCCCACAGCACATACTCCCATGCACTCAAGAGTTACATGTGTACTGCTATTAGAATACAGACAACAGAATTAGGTCATCAGTGCTCTGGCTAGGAATGGGGTACGTATGGGCTATGTGCACTTTGGATGCAAAGTCCCTGCTTGAAAACAGTTTTTCACAAGCACTTGTCCTGCTTAAGATCTCCCTAGCATTCACACACAGACTCTCACTACATTGACAAAGGTTAAAGCGTTTGCCTTTTATTCAGACTTGTTCCGTTTCCAGTGATACTTTTCCATGTCCTTCAAACCCAAGAACACCTAGGTTCATAACAGCACCAGTCTACCACAAAAAAAGCAAACAAATAAAAACAAAAGTTCTATAATGTGATATAGCATAAAGAAACAAATACAGCTAATACATTAGAGAAAAATTTAAATCAAGTTATGTATGTTGCTATAAAACTGGTAGTATGCAATGAAAAAAAATTGGTAAGATTACTAGGTCTGCTAGATGTTTAAAACAAGTCTACTTAGGCTGTATCTATATTGTCATGCTGGTTTTAGGCATGACTTTGCACTCAGGACCTAGCAACCTCAATTACCCATACTACACACGGTGGGCTTTCACACAACTTCCCCTACAGCCAGCAGTGTGTACACAAGTATCTCAAGCTACCTGTTCAGACTCAAGCAGCACTTGCAAAGCTGTAAAGATGTAGCCTATTGCTGTCTCCTCCCTACGAATATGATATTACTGGGTTCTTCTGCATATGCCTGGTTAAGAAACAAAACCACAGTCAGTGGTATACTATAACACCTTAAGTAACATGGCATCTTAGATTTTAGAAAAATATTTTAATTGTCAGTTCACAAGTAAAATCTATCACTATTACAAAACATCTTGTAATACTAGAATATCTAGCTTGTAAAGAATTTTGTTCTTATTGCTGTCGCATGTAGTTTTCAGGAGCTGTGTCAGCATGAAGGTATTGGTGGGTTTCTCACTTGTCATAGTCAGTTTGTAAGGGTTCTCATAGGAAGATACACTTTCCTATTTAATCCTCACAATTTTCACATTTAGGCTGCCCTGACTTTTTTCAGATGTGCATAATTGACACCTGACACTATGTATCAAAGTCTCACCCAACTTAAATTGTCTAATATAACAAATTTTATTTGCAGCCTTTAAACAAAGAACATTCACTCAAAAAAGTGAACACCAGCATTGACACCCTCTTAGCTACTTGAAAATCCTATAACTGTGTTCTGACAGCTATCAGATATTAACTCATTCATTTCATTTTGTTTGGTTTCTTCCTTATTCTCGTGGTTGGGGTGATGTTTTGTGTTTCCAGCTTTTTTAGACCTTCTGAGGAAAAATTTTGTCAGTAAGTAACATAATTCAGCCACATTTAAAAGAATGCAAATGCTAGACACAGCAATCATGAAAATAGTAAACACTGTCTTTTCAGTAGGTCGAGAAACAAAGCAGTCTACTGTGTTGGGGCAGGGCCAAGCGTTACATTTCATTAAGCGAGGCATTCGGAACCCATCGTACATGAAATAAAATGCGTACATGAAGACTGCTTCAAAGACCAGTCTGAAGAAGATGCTGCTGGTGTACGTCCACCACAATGAGCCCTCAATACGAAACCTCTGTCTTCTGATTTCTTCAATGTCCTTATACTCACATTTCTGGTCTCCCTTTCTGAACTGCCTTTTCTTCTCATGCCTCCTGTAAGCTACATGCATGGCCACCAGCAGCGCAGGTGTGGAAACAAAGATCAGCTGCAGGGCCCAGAGTCTGATGTGAGAGATGGGGAAAAAGTGGTCATAGCAAACATTCTTGCAACCAGGTTGCAGAGTGTTACAGATAAAGTCATCTTGTTCATCTCCCCAGACTCTCTCTGCAGCCACAACCAGAATCATGATACGGAAGATGAACAGGACTGTGAGCCATATCTTCCCGATGCTGGTGGAATGCTTATTTACACCTCCTAAAATGGTATGCAGAGCTCCCCAATCCATTGTCTTGCTTTAATCGTCTGACCTAAGACAAGACAAACAAAACTGAGATTAATCAAGATGGGAAACAAATACCATCAAGCATGTGATATAAAATAAAGGCAATATCATATAATTGCAGCATATTCACTTGCTGTTGTAACATTTTGTTGACGCACAGTGGACTTACCTATAAACAGTCATAAATTAAGCAAAGTTGGCTCATCCTTAGCTTTAGAGCATAAACAACATTTTCATGAGGACATTCCAGCAATAGAGAGAGATTGGTGATGCTCTGCACCTTCCATGAGCAGGTCTGGATAACCCGCATTCACAAATTTTAGAAGTGTGACTAAGGCTCTGTATTGTTAGCTGAAGCAAATTCCACACTAACTTGAGGCAATGAAGGTAACATCTTGGGCACAATCCATCTCATCTTGAGTTGGATTTCTAAAAGCAGTGCTTAAAGATTCATCCCAAAATTGCACCTCTCTCCACTAGCTACAAAGAGAGCCTAGGGTAACTAGACAAAGACTCCTTCATTGTCAATGCCTGTCAATTCTCTCCTAACACAGACTGCATTACTCCTAGAATAGCAGAGATGTTTCAGAGGCTGGGAGAATGCTGAAGTCAACATTTGAAGAGTTCAGATAGGGCCAGCAGTAGCTCAGAGACTTTTCAACAGAAGCATAAAGTTTCAAGTAGGTTAGATTGAAAGTACTATGACCGTAAGGAATTAAAGGCTTTCACCTTTGTCTCCCACATACCTCTGCAGGAACAGCACAATTGTCCGTGTTTGCTCAGCTTCCACAAACAACAGCCTTTCACAGAGCGTTCAGAGGCATTTCAGCCCACCCCCCCTTCAGATGGATTTACAGAAAGTTAGTTTGCAAGCCACTCAATTAAAGAAACCAGCATTTCTTATGCCTATCAGCCAGGACCTTCTAAAAGCACTCACAGCTCTCTTTGCTCTGAAATTCCTCATGAAGGTTTTTATTTCTCAGCTTTATGAATTCATTTGCATCTCAGAGACCATTTATCTTTGGCATTCACAGCCCAGAGCACCAATAAGCAAAGATCACATTTTCAAGGTTTCTAGAGAAGAGCAGCCACTGCAGCAAAGGCCATCATATCTGTCACATGACAGTATCTAAGATTTTCCTAACTCTGAGCTGGGTCATATTGCATGCAGAAGAAAATAAAGACATTTCCTTACAGTTATCTTCTGTGTCACACTCCCATTCTGAGTAAGGTCAAAAAAACTTACTGATTATATAATTCTACTGTAAAGCAGAAAGTCAGATAAAATAATACAAAGTACACAACGGTTCAGGGAAAATTAGGACATAATTGTTATATGAAAGTAGGGTTTTTCCTTTGAGTTATTGAAATGTAAGCATAACCTCCCTTCACTGGTTCCATAAACTACATTTCCCTGGGATCATGCTGGTTGATCATGTGGGGTTAGACTTCAGGAGGTGAATACCAAGGGAGGGGGACTCAAGATTTCTTCAGATTGGAGAGAACCTTTCCCAAGTCTCCTTCAGGATGCAGAACTTAGGTGGGCTATGACCTCTGTATCTGACTAAAAACAGTCCTGGAAGCAGAGCTACTTTCCTATCCTGCTAGTTTATTTTTCCAAGAAAAGTTTATTTTTCATTAGCATACAGGTATAGAGAAAGTCTCTGTAGGTTAACAATCCTATGAGGACACAGGAAAGACCCTGAATACCAGAGACACTTAGAAAACATAGTAGCCAGATTTTCAAATACTTGTTTCCACCCCTTTTTTTCATTAAGTAGACTAGCCTTTCTGTCAGGATTTGCTTTGGAGATCATTATATGTTTAACAGAAATAGTTACTACTTTTATTAGGTTTTTTATTAATGTTCTCTGTTACTATTACACACATATTGCAATTACAGTACTTATAATAAAAATGACACAACTATGTTACGACTAGAAATACTTACGCACATCTGACTATAAATCTTGAAGACTGGCACCATGCACACTGTGGTATTACATGCATCATTCACTCATCCTTTAATTCCACCAAACGCCTTGTATTTCTTCTCTCAGTCATTGTTCCTTCTTCTCCCTGCCTGTCAGCCATCTCCTTACAGTGTGAAAGGCTGAGAAGTGGAACCTGCTCATAAGGCCCATTTCTTACGCTTCACCTCTCACTGTACACCAACACTGCTGCCTTTGTTACCACAACTTCACAAAGATTTCTTTCCACACACAATCGCTCCTTCCTGTCTCTCTGTGCAGAAGGGGATTAAAAAAATATGAGTGCCTCAAGGTGTTGTTAAAGGGTACCTTGTCTTCAGTGGTAAAGTTGGCTCAAGATGCTTCCCCACTACTGTTTGCTCCTGAGGTCACACTGCAGTTCTTAATCTGTTACAACTCTGTGGGGGTGCATTATAAACCAGGTGGCTTGTTCAAAAGCTATTCCCAGTATTAGCATGTTTTGTTTGGTTAGTTTTTGGTTTTTTTAAACCCAACCCATTTCACTAATCTGCTTTAGAGCACAGACCCACAAAGCATCTGAAAAGCACAACTTCATTTAAAAAGTAGGCTGTAAATTGCAAAACCCGGGAAGGAACAAGCAGTCAGTGGAGAAGAGGGGTTAGCAAAGCTTTATTGCTGAGGACAATACATTGTGAAACTATACTCTGCATTTGACTTGCTCGATCTCCTTTGAGATTAGACTGTGCTTGCTAAGCCAAAACACGGTGCTTCAATTCTAGCAAAATGTAGATGTCTGTACCTGGATCAATGCAGAAAAAGCCACCACACTTTGGAGAGGCAGCCTTTTGCCCCACGTATCCTAGTGACATTTCCTCTCCTTCTGAAAAAAGCTTTGTCTTTCATATCTGCCCAAACCCTCCCCGTCACCATCCCCACCTACCTTTCCAAATCCTCCAACTATCTCTTCAGCTCCTCCTGTCACCATCCCCTATTCTTCCTGCTGCTTGCCAAGCTAGTCACCAACCTTTGCTCCTTCTTGCTGAAGCCACGTGGCCTCTCAGGCTTGTTTTCATGCTGGTGGAATGTCATGACTTTGGGACACTCCAGAGATTGTTACAGACACTGATCAGACACCAGTAAAGTCTCACTACCTTCTCCCTGAAGGGTGGCACAGTTAAGATAGTAGGGCCATATTTAGGCAGCCTGCATTCCATCCAGGTATTTTGGCCCCAGTGTTTCCTGCTAGCTAGCTTTAAACAGCTCTCATTAATGCAATTTAGAAGATTTAATGAAGGCAATTCAGAGACTGCTGAAGCACCCACCTGTCTCCAATAAACAGACACAGTGACCCAAGCAGAATTTAAGTTAACTGAGTATGGCCCTTCACACTAGTAAACCATCAGTGCTAAACATCAAGTTTGGGCTCTCTGTACTGATATGATGCCTCATTTACTCCTGACTTACTCGAAAGCTAGGATGTTGACTCATGATCATTGGCTATATTTCTTCCAGATACTTGCTTTTGACAAGCAAGTAAAATATTAACTGTCTTGCTGACCAAAGGAGAAGAAAGCAGGAAAGCTACTTCCCTTTAATGGGTGGTAACTCTTATTTTCATCAAGCCAGTCCAGATACTATTTCTAGGTGAACAAATCCAGCTACATGCCTACAGAAATACCAGTATGTAGACAGTCAAGGACTGACTTGCTTTGCTGGTCTCAGATGTACAGCATAGTACACAAGTTGAAGACATGAAAGCTTAGGTGAATTTTGAGGGGAAAAAAGTAAAGTAGGAAGCAGGATAGGGACTGGTAATAAAGAAAGAAGCTGGGAAGAACAGAAGATAGCTGAAGTCAGCAAGGTTGAGTAATTTGGCATTTAGAACCCATTCTAACATGGGAGTGTATTTTCTTTAAATGTTAAATCTTCCTTAAAAAAAAGGAGTTGCAACTGGGCATGAAAATAAGCCTTTCCAAGTCTCAGCATAGATCTCTGTTCTGCTACCAGCTGAACCTTCTGTTCCAGTTCAACAATCAGAGGATCACAATAGTATATGGCTGTTACAGTAGGAGTTAAAGATCATAAAAGATCACCATCCACTGAAAAGTTAGTTACAAGGGAAATGGTTCTATATGATCACATAGCACATAGAGAAGCACATAAGCAGGTGCTTTGTTTTGAGGTTTTCACCACCACCAGTAGGCTAGACAGCAGCAAGAGAAGAACTACAACTTAACTATTTCTGTAGTTCTCCAGCTTCTGGGCAGTGTTGTTTTGAGCTCTGTGTTGCCCTGGCTAGACTTCTACTTTAAAGCTAGCTCCCGTAAGCCTACATTAAACCGCAATCACAGCACAGTGCATACACCCGGTGAAAATCCCTGCAATTCACAACACTGAAGACAATTATACTTGAGCTTCTGTGTTTGAGTACAGCTAGTTAGCAGATGCTTTTTTCACTCTGTTAAAGACTGTTATACTGGGAAATCATTAATCAATGGTTAAATCCACCACTTCAGCAAACCACAACTAGAATATAGTGAAGGTAAAAATAACAGAGGATACTTCCTTTCACATACACAGCATGACACTTGCTGTTATAGAATATTATCAAGCAAAAAAGGTAGTCATTAGCAAGTGTTACAATATTCGCTTATGCTATAGGAACATCTAGGAGTCTGTCAAGAAGAGGTTCACAGTACATTAAAATTACACATAAATTCAGAGTAAGATTATACCCTTCTCCCCATAACTACAAATTGGATATCAATTTACTTATTCTACTGGAATTACACAGAAACATAGAGGGTGTTCACATTGCCTCCACTCCTATTAGAATTTTACTGTAGGGTATACCAAGAACTACCAGTCCAGTGTGAAATTCCACCACTTTCAGTAATGCCTCCAGATACTGATACAAGATCAGCAGCCTACCAAGACAAAAGTTACTTTATCCCATGTGAGAATATGTTAACCAAGATAATTTTTAAGCAAAAAAAGCACTGATCCCAAGTGTCCCTCCCCACCCCCCTCAGCTGGGGACAAAGATAACTCAGATGCCTGAGAGTGGCA